AATAGCACGTTGGTTTTATTGGTGGCAGAAGAAAAAGTTTTTTCATTTGTAAAAGGTATTTGCTATATTTAACTCAGTATTTTTTCCTATGCTTTGCATATGTTTCATTTTTTTTCCAAAATCTTTTTTTTTCCTTCAAATACTAATATCCACCATGGCTGCATCTTATTCTGAAGGGAAAATAGGAGGTCTATCAACAGGTTCTGCCTGGGATCTTTCGATCAACGGCTCCTTTCTTCATGAAGACCCTATTTAAAAAAGAGAGGAAGAAAATAAAATTGAACCCCCAAATTAACTTTTCCATAATCTGTCAAGATACATCTCTCTGAAACTTATCTGTAAATGTGAAGTGTTTGTATAAATAGCAATAGATCTCAAGTAGAATAAATTGGACACTGCTATAATTTGTAAACATAATTTTTATAAAGTGATGTACATAAAAAGGCAAAATCTTACAAAAAAGATAACTTTTTTTTCTTCTAGAAATTATTAAAGTATGTCTCCCTTTATCGCAAGCATGCTGATTTCAGGAACTTGGTTTAACTGAATAGTTTTTAAAGGAGGAAGACCTAAAGAATAAAGAAGATGCAATCTGCAATGAACCTCTCCACCTACTCCCCACCTCCCCTTCCCATTGAATATCTCTGCATTGGATTGTTCCACACAGGTCATTAATTGCAGGCTGTCACCTCCCCCTGCCCACTCCCACCTGTATCAGGACCCACTGTAGTTGAAACCACTTTGGGTGGTGACAATAGAAGGAGCTGAGATAAATGGTAAATAAGAGAAGACTTGTTTGCTCCAGTCTGCTTCAGCTTCATGCGTGAAAGAACACTTGGGCAGGGAATGGTGGAGTTCCCATGGCTGCACACAAACAGCTCCTAAGTCTTCCCTAAAGAGTCTCCTGCTCAGAAAATAAAGAGCTATGGGTACTATTATCCAGTTCTGCCAGCATCATGGAGTTCTCTAAAAGCTATCTTTATAGTGATCATTTCCCTGACCTTGATTTGGATAATTTTTCAAAGGGATGATGGACCAAATTGTCAAAAAAAAAAAAAAAAAAA